AAAATCTCGCCGAAAAGGCTTTTGATTTTAGCAAAGACCTTTTAAATAGCGTACGTATACTATTTGACCGGGATAATCGCTCTCGTAGCTTTAAGAACTTCTTAATATACTTTTTTAGCCTTATCTATAATAAAGAAGTCTTTCGCTTTAAAGTTGATTAAAGTAAATGCTTAACTAATGCGAATAGCTTTAAGACGAAGAATAATAATTATATCGACGCCGTTTAGTTTATCAGCAATAGCCTTACGAGCGGCGTAGCTATCGGGACGAGCTAAAAGTACGGCGGAAAGTACTTAAATCAAGACTCTCTTGTTTTAGCGTGTTTTAAGTTGTTCGCTAAAAGACTTGCGAGTAGCTTAAGAGCTCGTAAGCTTGCGGGTCTTTATAAGATTTATTTTTATTATAAAAGAAGATCGGGATAGCTTAACGATTACCGATTGAACGGCAGCTTTTAAGTTTTTCAAAGTCTTCGAAAGCTTCGCGGAATCTGCTTATAAAATAGACTTAAAAAAGGCCGTTTGCTCGCTGCTATAAAGAGCGGTCGAAAAAGAAAAGAAAGTAATTGCTCCGATGATTGCGTATAAATGAGTACGTATAAACGTAAAAAGACTTTTAAAAAACTCTTACGTATAATATCGAGATTCGAAATCAAGTTAGTCGTTTATAATTTAGTCCGAAACGAAAGCGTATTGCTATTAGACTCGTCGTTTAATAGCAGCCGCGCGGTCGATGTCGTCGAAATAACTTTTAATAGCTTTCGTCGCCGTATTAATAATCGGTGCTCTTCGTTTTAATACGAAAAGAAAAGGTTGCAAATTAATAACAGCGTTCTTTCTTTTCTTTTTAAAATACTAAGTAAAGTTAAACGACGATACAACGTCTTAAGGCCGTGTATAATCGGCGTTATTAGTATTGTTGTTATCCGCGAAAGACCGAAATAAAGTGACGAGAACTATTTCTCGAGCTATACGGCGAGCGCAATAAGCTATTGATCTAGTTCTAGCGGATTCTTAAAGAAACCGTATTTTAAAAATCGAATGCAATGAAAATCAAGTCGTTGTAAGCAAGTTGAAAATTTCGTATTAAATAATTAAGATGATGAGCAAAGTCGATTATAATTAGCGCAAGGCTTAATAAAAGAGTAAAAAGAGTAAAAAGAAAAGAAATAGTATAGATCTTAAGATCGGTATTGATTTTAAAAAGCATTTCCGAAGCAAATGTTTCTAATAAAAGTAAAAGTTCCGATTAAAAGTCGAAATAAAATAAAGATAGTCCGAAGCTTATAAAAATACGACTAAAAGATTTAATAAATTCAAAAGATTCTAACGAAAAGAAAAGTGACTTTGCGCCGATTTCGATATTAGAAATTTCAAAAAAGTTTTCGGTATTTTAAAGATCAAATATATGTATATGTTAAAAATAATCGGGTTAATAAAAGGTTTTTAAATTATTTGATTTTGACTCGTAAACCGAGTTTACGAATAAAATAAGCGATTTTCGCAAAGTATTCTCGATTCGAGATTAAAAAGAATAAACCTTTTACAAAAGTAAATTAATAATCAAGATTAAAACTATAAAAAACTTAAGAATTAATTGATTAGCTTCGTTAATAACTCCGAACTATATCAATTGCTTTAATTTAAGATGAAAGCTAAAATATAAAAAAGTATTTTCATTAATAAGTGAAAATTCTTTCTTATTGATAATAGAAGAGAGTTTTTACCGAAAAGCCGAAATATTGAACTTCGGCTATTGCGGCGTTTTAATATCCGAACTTATCGAGAATAAGGTTTTGATTGTTTTAAAGTTGTAGGTATAAAGTGTAAAAAAGGCTGAATGATGAACGAAGGTCAACTTAACTGCGAATCAAGCGATTATAATAAGCTGTATAAAGACAAAGACTAAAGATTTAAATCTTTGCGTAAGTCATTAATATAAAAGCACTCAAAAAGATGTGCCGTATAAAAGCCTAGCTCTAAGGCTAGACCTTATAGTCTTATAAAAGAAGTGTTAAAAAAGATAAGTAAAAAGCTCGTTAATTGTTCTAGCTAAGAGATGTGTGCCCTTTTATAAAAGATGGGTCCGTCTAGTGTGGCCTTAGTGGCCGTGGCAAGTACCTCATCAGGCAGGGTGTTTACAGTAAGATTATTAAAAGCTTTTCGTAATCGTTTAAAGTAAAAGATTAAATGAACTTTAGTCTTTTATTAACTCGAAAGGCTTAAGCTTAAAGCTGCTAAAAAAGTTATCGATAACTTCGAACGATCCGTTCCTAAGGTTATCGAGCTTTTTAAACGGTCGTAAGATAAAAAACGAGCGTATATATTAGATTGCTTTTAAGCGATTAAAGAATATATTCGTAACTTCGTAAAGGTCGTTGCAGTATTTGCAATTGCAAAACATTCGGTTGTAAAAGTATTTAAATTCTAGTTGCTCTTTAAAGTTCAAGGGGTGTCACGGTACGAGAGCAAGGTCTTCGAATAAGGTTTAAATTGTGTACGAAGGATGGAAAAGATACTAAGGTACAAAAGGAGATAAGTCTATTGTAAAGGTCCTTGCGTTCTTCAGCTTTAGTATCCTTAGTATGAGGGGAGGAAACAAACAATTCAGCCAAGGAATGCCAAGGCTGAGGAACGTACGGACCCCCACAATGGACTTATCTCTTCTTGTACCTTAATATCTCTTCTATCCTTCGTACACAATTTAAACCTCATTCGAAGACCTTGCTCTCGTACCGTAACATATTGTGTACCTTCCTTAATCGCTATACAGCGCAGTCCACGAACGCGCGAACCTAGCGATCCTAAAAACCCTTTTACACTTCGAAAACTCTCTCGCATGCCCTCGACGCGCATACCCGTCCCCGCATACTAAGTCTAAGGCCAAAACAGAGCTTTTACCTTAGTTTTAGCCCGTGTCACCTTCGGAACGATGTCCGCCGACGATCTTATAGCTACCTCAGACCTTAGCTACCAAGAGAACCCTTTGCCGATCTTCGTTGCAAACAATTTCCCTTTTCTCTTCTCGTGTTTTAACATCGCTAGCGTCTCCGCAACCTTCTAATCGAATCCTAACGCTGTTGCGGCCGAGATTATAGTATTGTAAGGATATGCCGAACATGCTACTGCCTACTTTAAAGACGTAGAAGCCAAGCTCTCGGGCCTCTTTACTAATAGTTACGAAGACAATCAAGCTTTGCGCGGACAATTACTCGACCTTCAAAGACAAATCATTACCCTCGACACCGAAAAGGCACTCTTAGCCAGCTAAATCACTACTTTCGAAGCTTTGCAACGCAACCTTTCCTCTTTATCATCCAACCGACCTTATCGATCTGCCGAACACCTCGACCTCGATAAATTCGATAGAACTATCACAAAACTCCGCTCGTTCTTGACCGACATAAGCATCAAACTCGCTGTTAATAGAGACTAGTACTTTATCGAGTACGACAAGATAGCTTATTTCCTTTCCCGCCTTTCCGGCGAAGCTAAAGGACAAGTCAAAAGAGGCACCTCTATTCGTAGCGAGATACTCTACAAGAGCGTATCAAAGATCATCGATATCTTAAACGCTGCTTTCGGTGACATCAATGCTAAATCCACCGCCTAATAAGCCTTCTTCGTCCTCGTTTAAAGAAACCGATCCTTCGCCACCTTTCTCTTTAAGTAGCAAGAGACCTGCTCCGAAGCTTAATTCGGCGACGAAGCTTCTATCGCTCTCCTTAAGCGCGCCCTCTACTCCGACATTATTAATCGCCTTTTATATATCCCGGCTAGTGATCACAAAACTAAACTCTTCGAGTTTATCTTACAAGTCCGCGGTATTGATAATATCTTCCGTAATCAAAACCTTAACTACTTTAAGAAAAAGACAGTCACGGTCTCCGCCATCTCTCAAATCGCACTCGGACACACCGCTTTTATTCTCACTCTTACCACTACACAAAGAAGCACTGCTATGGACGTCAGCGTGATAGAAATAGGCCTTGTAGCTACCTGGACCGCCGCCGATGCTTCTGCCAAGCGTATTCTTAAGACCTTAAACGAAAAAGAAGCTAAAAAGGTTTATTGTCGCAACAATAGCCTTTGCAATTAGTGCTACGACAAAAACTATACGAGCTCCGCCTGCCCCACCGCCTTATAGAACACTAAAAGAGGAAAGGGCTAAGGAAAAGCTTAGTTTCTAACCGAAGACGCCGTCGGAGACCTTATAAAAAGAGTACTCTGATCATCTTTTCTTTAAATACCTCGATTAAGAATCATTTGGTTCTTCTTTGTATTGTAACAGACCCAACTAATGAAATTCCTATTAAAACCAAAGCTATAGTTGACTGCGGGTGTACTAGAAAAGTGATAATCAATTACTCTTTTGCGCAAACTCATAACTTAATTCTCGAACCTTTATTAAAACCTCGATCTTTACGACTCGCCGATAGATCTCTTTCGTCAACGAACGTTACTTATAAGACATAACTTCACCTTAATATCAACGGCCACTCTAAACTCATTACTAGGTTCCTTTTTAACCTCGGCAAATACGATATTATTCTAAGCAAGCCTTAGCTCGCCTTTCATAACCTTTAAATCGATTAGAGCTCTGATTCTCTTACATTCAATAGTAGGACTTGCAAAAATCATTGCTTACCTCTTACTTGTCACCAATTATTTATACGCGGCTCAACACTTCCTATTACGACCTTTGAAACCCTTATCAAAGGACCTTTCCTTCGGAGACTAAGTGCAGCCGCCTTTTATACTACAGCTTCCACACCGAAAGTAAAGATTTTCTCTGCTTCTCTTTACGAAATTGACCAACAATTAAGGACCGAATTCAAAGTCGACTTCGCCGCCTTCGACATCACCTCTCGACTAAGCCCTCCTCCCTATATCCTAGACCTCTTCAACCTTTAAAAAATGGACCGAGAACTATATATTTCCTTTATAGATTTAGTTGACGATATTTAACCTTCCGAACTTCAGTAACGCCACATAGCCGCCGACATGTACCTTTGCGGCGCCTCTCTTAAAGATATTCGAAAGGCCTTAGCTCTTAAGGCTCGTATCGATCCTGCTATAGTCGTCCCCCTTCAATACCACGATTACCTTAACGCCTTCGATCAAGACGAAGCAAATAAACTCGTCCCTTATAAAGACTGCGATCACGCCATCGAGCTGAAACCAAGCGCCATCCTTCCTTATAGTCCCCTCTATAACATATCACAAGATGAACTTCTAGTCCTCCGCAAATTCTTTAAAGAAAACCTTGATAAAGGATTTATTCGAGCAAGTACTTCTCAAGCAGCTTCCCTTGTACTCTTCGCTAAGAAACCCGGCGGAGGCCTCCGCTTTTACGTGGATTACAAAGCCTTGAACGCTATTACAATAAAGAACAGATACCCTCTCCCCTTTATCCAAGAAACCCTTTCCCGCCTTAGCAAAGCTAAATACTTTACTAAATTAAACGTTATCCACGCTTTCAATAGAATCCGAATAAGAGATAGTGATGAATAGCTTACAGCCTTCAACACTCGATACGGCCTTTTCGAATCTTTCGTTATGCTTTTCGGTTTGTCAAACGCTCTAGCTACTTTCCAAGCTCGAATCAACGATATTCTACGACCTTTCTTTAACATATTTTATTCCGCTTATATCGACGATATACTAGTTTACTCCGATACTTTAAAAAAACATCGTTTATACGTCAAGGCCGTACTCCGAGCTGTCTAAGAAGCAAGCTTCTAATTAGACGTCAAGAAATGCGAATTCGAAGTTCAAGAAGTCACTTACTTCGGCTTAATCGTTTTTACTATAAGCGTCAAGATGGACCTCGCTAAAGTCGATTGTATAACCTCTTGAGAGGCCTTCGCTAATGTCAAAGACGTTTAAGCATTCTTAAGCTTTTTAAATTTCTACAAACGATTTATTAAAGGTTTCTTTCGAATCGTTACCCTTCTCGTCTACCTCATTAAGAAAGAATCTAAATGGAATTAGACCTTCGCTTGCTAACGAGCTTTCGATACCTTTAAAGAAGCATTCGTTTTAGCACCGATTCTTTCTCACTTCGACCTCGACCGTAAGATTTAACTTGAGACGGATGCTTTCGATTACGTCTTTTCCGCTATTCTTTCTTAAAAAGATGATAAAAGCGAACTTCACTTCGTAGCTTACATGTCCCGCAAATACGACGCAGTCGAATGCAATTACGAGATCTACGATAAAGAACTTCTCGCTATAGTTCGAGCCTTCGAAAGCTAGCGTTTAAACCTTACGAGATCTTTATACTTTATACACGTATTGACCGACCATCGCAACCTCGAATACTTTATGACTATAAAACAACTCACTCGACGGCAAGTTCGGTAGAGTGAGTTCCTTTTTGAATTCGATTTTATTATTAAATTCAAACTAAGAAAGGAAAGCCGAAAACCTGACTCCTTTACACGCCGATCACAAGACCTCTTTTAAGATGACTTCGACCTTCGTTACACTTATCGAAACCAAGCCTTCTTTTCTATTGACAACTTAGACCTTCAAATTTCGAATTCATTGACATTTACCTCTTCTTTAAACGCTTTCGCTCAACTCGATTTCTTTTCCGAGCTCACCTTTGCCGAGCTTTACACCGAAGTAGCTCTCTGCTTAGACGAACTGGCCTTTGCAGACGAGCTTTAAAACTTGAAAATCATGCGCCTTTTAAAAGAAGGCTATAAATCCGACAAATGGTTCAAAGTCATTAGCAAAGAGATGATTAAAAAAAAAAGGATCTCTCATTTTAAAGAAATCGCTCTTTCCGAATGCATCTTGCGCGACGATCGATTATTTTTCCGAGGTCGATTGTACGTCTCGGATATCGAACTACGTACTTTCTTCTTACAATCTGCCTACGATTCTTACGAGTCAAGCTACTCAAGCAAGAACGCTTTATATAAAGTGATATCTCGAGACTATTAGTAGCTTAATGTCAGCGCATCTTGCGCCCGATTCGTTCGCAATTGCGATAGCTGCTCCCGCAATACTACCTCTCGACTTCGATACCAAGGCACCCTTAAACCTTTCCCTTTCTTCGATCAACGCTAGCGCCACCTCTCAGTCGATTTCGTCGGCCCTCTACCTTTTAGCAATAGCTACGACTGCGTTATGGTCGTAGTTGATCGCCTCTTTAAAGGTCGCCACCTTATCGCTTGTTATATTAAGCTCAAAGCAAAAGAGCTGGCCCAACTATTTCTCGATAACGTATAGAAATTACACGGCTTCTCCGATACTATCGTATCTAATAGAAGCTCTTTATTTGTTTCTGAACTTTAAAAAGCAGTTTGCTTTAAACTCGAGATTAAACTCAGCCTTTCTACGTCTTTCCACCTTAAGACGGATAGCCAAACAGAGATTTTCAATGCTTAATTCGAGCACTTCATTAGACAATATACCGATTATACTCAAGATGACTAGGCCACTTGGTTATCAATAGCCGAATTCTTAGCTAATAACGTAATAAACGCTTCTACTTAAATGTCCTTATTTTTCGCTAATACTAGTTTCCACCCCCGCGTCAGCTTCGGACTCCCCCGACCTTTCGAACTTACTTTTACACTTGCAATTCAAGCAAGAAACAAAGCAAGCACAGCTTTCGTAAATAAAATAAAACAAATCCTCGCCCTTTTTAAGACCAACCTCATTTCGGCTTAAGCAACTCAAGAATTCGCAGCTAATAAAACTAGATCCTTAGCCTTTGCTTATCGAGTTGAGAATAAGGTTTTCCTTAACTCTCGCAACATCAAGACCGATAGACCTATCAAGAAGTTCGACCATAAGTTCTTCGGCCGTTACAAGATCAAAGAGGTATTAAGCTCTTATACTTATCGCTTAGACCTACCTTTCGAATACGACAAGTTGAACGACAGTTTTCATACCAACCTCTTTCGCCCCGCCCCTACCGACCCTTTGCCAAGCTAACAAAACCCTCCCCCTCTTCCTATTGCTATCGATGCAAATGGTGAAAAGCTATAAGCGGTTGAAGCTATTATCGACTCTAAAAGAACTAAAGCAAAAGGTTTCCAATACTTGATTCTATAGAAAGGATATAATCCAGAAGATAAGACTTAAGAACCTCTTTCTTACGTAATCAACGCACGGTCCTCTATCCTAAAGTTCGAAAAACGCTTCCTTAAAAAGCCAAAACCTACTAAAGCAGAACTTACTACTGCTCGAAAAGAAGCTTAATTGTTTGATTAATTTTGACGAAAGGGATGCTCGAAGAGAAGGAATAGAAGAGACCATATATAAAGAGAGGAAACAAACAATTCAGCCAAGGAATGCCAAGGCTGAGGAACGCACGGACCTCCACAATGGACTTATCTCCTCCTGTACCTTAGTATCTCTTCCATCCCTCGTACACAATTTAGACCTCATTCGAAGACCTTGCTCTCGTACCGTGACACTTAGCTGAATTGTTTATTTCCTTTTTTTATATATAATCTTTTCTATTCCTTTCTTCGTGCGTCCTTTCTTAAAAAAAATATTCAAATAATTGTTGCACAGTGTGGTCCTTGCCTCACGTGCTCCTCACGTGGCCTAGCACGTGCTCCCTTGCACGTGCCTGCCAAGCTCCTTAAAGGCCACGTACTACATGTACATATCTACAATTGCTCTCGTGCTCTCTTAAATAGATCAGATACTTTTATCGCTATCTCTTAAACCCTTGATCTGCTCTATCTGCTTAAGTATACGCCATCTATTACTATAGTTAAGAGCCACACGCTTTTACGAGCTCTTTTAATTATCGTTAATACGGTACAGACTGCTTTAGTAGTTGCAAGATCTATTATCGTTTTTTTTTTTTCGGTCGATAAAAGTTGTTCTTCTTTTTGACGCTCGGAGCGTCTAATAAGAGCTTTTCAAACCTCATTTTACTTTATTTTACACTTTACTTCGAGCTATTTCACGACATATCACTTTAAAGCGCTTAACAATTTACGGACCAAGCGTTATAAGTCGATTGGTTTATCGATTACAAAGCTATTGCGATGATAAAAAGCGTTTAAAAGCTTGCAGACCTTTATTCGAAAGAAACTTAGCTTTATATTCTTTTTTTAAAACCTCCGGCGCTATTTACGATTAACGACTTAATCGTTAAAAAAAACGAGCGGAAAGATAATCTTATAAAAGAATAAGAAAAAGCGCTTTTAGCTACTCGTAAGGACCGCTTAATGCTAAAAGGTGCGAGTTTTTAAAACGTTAAAAAAGAGTTTGCATACCGGTCGAAAAAATACTTTAAGAAAAAAGCGCGCTAAAGCGCTTTAAACTTTAAATACTAGTATATGCTAAAATAAGTGAATCAGACGGTTTTAAAAGAGCTGCTACAGCTCTATAAGACTCGTCTAATTAAAAAAAAGAGTTTTCATTTTAAACGCTAATAAGGTCTTTACGAGACTAATACGCGGAGGACGACGAATCGACGAAAAAGCATATGCGAGACGAGTACCGTCGAATTCTTAACGAAAGAGTTGCGAAGACTATTAAACTTTAGCAATAGATTCGAAATTAAAAGCTCGTGCACTTTAAAGCTATCGCTTTAAAGCTCGAATTGCAAGATGTTATCGGTTCTCTTGCTATAAAGGATTTCTTAAGAGTAATTGCTTAAAGGTTAGACTTTGCTTAAGAGAGTCGCTACTTAAGTCTTGTAGTCGACGCTATCAATATAAAAAAAGCTTTTAAGTTAAAGAGCTTAAGAGACTACGCAAAGATGTTTAAAAAGCATTTATAGCAAAGAAGAGCTCGTAAGAGTGTATTCGCTACACTCGACGAGCTTTCGAAAAGAAAGGTTTGCTTTTATATGCGTACTTACTTTTAGCAGCTTTCTTTTTGCGACCTATTAAGGCTTGCTTCTACTAGTCAAAACCTTAAGAATCTCATAGTGTCGAAGCCGAAGCTTTAAGCTATTAAAGAGCGATTTTTTATGCTTAGCTACGAAAAGCTGAAGGCGAGCTTAAAGCTTTTATAAAAGGAGAATAGAGCTTTTACTAGCGAGGGCAAGTTTAAATACCTTAGAAGTGTAGCTGCTTAAGAAAGGCCACTTAAGAGCAGGTCTATAAGGGATTAGAGCCGCTCGCGCACGCTAGAGGGTGGATTTGGCCGTAGCCCTCGCGCTGCTAAAGGCCAATTGAAGCTTAAAACCACGCGTGCTTAAAGCTTGCGAAAGGGAGGTGTAGTATAAGGAATTTGGGACGCTTGCCTTAATTACAAGTTCTTTTATTTGACTCGCTCTTAAAGGGTAGAGGTTTAAGTTGGCGAGTCTTTGCGACGGCAAGCGGACCTACTTTGCACCTTGCCTTAAGGACTATTGGCTGCTGCCGCTTAAAGAGGCTCGTTGCAGCTTACTAGCGCTAGCGTGCTCTTATTTCGTCTACCTTTTGTTTAAGAGCTTTTAAGCTCCGTTCATCTTTTGGCTAGATTTTCCTTAGGTTTTTTCGTTTGTTTTTTCCTTCTTTCTTTAAGCGAGCTTTTTGTCAGTTGTGCAGTCGCTTCGCAACTAAAAGGTGTGTTGCACAGTGTGGTCCTTGCCTCACGTGCTCCTCACGTAGCTTAGCACGTGCTCTTTTGCACGTGCTTGCCAAGCTCTTTAAAGGCTACGTACTATATGTACATATCTACAGTTGCTCCCGTGCTCCCTTGAATAGATCAGACACTTCTATCGCTATCTCTTAGACCCTTGATCTGCTCCATCTGCCTAG